GCTTTTGGCCAGTACCAGCCCCAACAGCTGCAGGCAGACCGTATGCAATAGCAGATGGACTCCTGAAGGAAGCTCTTTCTTCCTCTTCCTCTTTTCAGCCTTCCAGTATAAGTAGTTAATCAGAGACAATTGATATTAACTGAGGAGCTTTAAGGAAAGCGATGCTATTGCGAAACTAAAGATTTTTATTCCACTGTCTTCATACAGTGTGCATCCAAATCATGTTGTTAGAGGGGAGGGGTAGTGCGGCATGTCTAGTTTCAAGTATCAAGCCAGAAGAAAATGGGAAAAAAAATACTGTACTGTCATGAAAGAGTGGCAGGAGTAGCAATGGGACTTCATATTTTCAAACAAACAAACAAACAAGAACCGAAAAAGCAAAGGTGTACTTTTTACAGTATCAGGGAAGCAAAACTGCCTTTTATAAGTAAGAAAATGGTATTTGAAAAGTTTGAACCAGGGAAAAAACTGAGTCAGCAATATGTAATCTTTATCCATTTTAAGAGGAAACAAGCTTAAAGCACTGATTGTCCTTTCTAGCTTTCAGAAGTTGTCTTCGTGAGATAGTACCTTCTCACTGTCTCACTAACGGGCATCGAACAACCCAAGGAAGATGGCCGGCTAGTAAGATGGCGGACAGGCACCAAAGTTATTTTCTTCTCTGTCCTCTGGATGAGTGGAACTATGGAGCAAGTGATGTGGAAGTAAGGGGTGCAACAGCTGTAGAGACAATCAATAACACAGACAGTTCTGGACAGAACACATCACTCGTGCTCATGTGATGAGCTTGTCACATCCTAATCCCTCGCCCCATCCTGTTTCACTTTTGGGAAACTTTAACTGCTGGTGTCAGCTATTCTGATTCTAAAATAGGATCAGCCCTTTACTACAACAGCCTTCTCTTTCTATTTATTGCATCTATTCGTAACTTGTGAATAAAGGCAGGAAGAAGCTTAATGAATTAAAACCTTTAAGAACTGTTTTAAGGGAATTTTCTTTTCTGAAACCATTTGTACAATTTTAATATCTATTTCAGGATTATATTTAAAATATTTATTAGCAAACATACAGTACACAAGGCGACTTTTGTTACCAAGACTGCTGTTCTTGAAGGGTTAATGGTATGTGATTTATACTGTGCCTTAATTGTTATGCTATTTAAAAAGAAATATTTATTTTGAAAGTTTTACTATGCTGCACTCTAAAGAAAGCAACTTTAGATGTGACACTGTAAAATTATGTATTCATCTCATGGCATAAATTATTTAGTAGGCTTAGATGTAGCATATTAAATATTAACCTAATTAACTAAGGATGTTGACTTGGATTTATTTAAATTCAGTATGTGCACTGTATGAGGGTACTCTTAAATTAACACTTTTTTAGGTTTTTACATAAAGTATTGCTAGTTCATTCTTTTTCCCTCGACTAGTTCTTCATGTAGACCTCTCAAATACATTAGTGCCGTTTTCTCACTCATCTGTACGTAGACTGACTATTTTTCCCTTTGCTAGAAAATGCTGCTTTACATTGTCCTGTGAAACGACAATACTTGCAATTTTTATTCTTGACCGAAATGGAATTTGATATTTTACACTGTATTGGATTTTTTTATACTTGAACAATTTCATACAAGGGAAGACAGGATAGCATTTTTATGGACTTTATCCAATGTCACTGGATTTATTTTAAGTATTCTGAATACTAGCCAGTGTTATAATGTAGACATGACTCTCCTGTGCATATTATTTATTCAGTATGTATATTGCTTTACAACATTTCAGATCTCTTAATCTATTCACTCGTATTAAAACAATAAAAAAAATGTTGTCGCATCCTGTCTAGTGATGTCTTTGCTCAAATTGTCTTAGATCTTCTTTAGTTAAAACTAGGGGGGCAACCTTTCATGTAATTTTCCTGGTCTGTGGGGTGAATAGCAGCATATGCACTGACTTCAAATACATAGACCGATACATGAACCGTATTACATGGGGGAAATTCTACAGAGAAGATGGAGAAGATCCATCCTGAGAGTTATCGTAAAATAATTCGGAGTGGAAGGGACTTTGGGAGGTCCCGGGTTGCTTATGGCTTTGTCCAGTCAGGTCTTAAAATCCTCCATGTGGAGAGTGCATAACCCCTCCGGGTAATCTATTCCACTATCTAATTATCCCCATAGTGTCAATTTTTTTTCCTTCTATCTAGCCAGAGCCTCCCCTGTTCGTTTATAACCTTCGTCTCTCATTCTTTGGCAGAGAGCCCAGCCCTGTCTTCTCGGTAACCTCCTCCTAGGAACCGGAAAGTTGCTGTTCTCTTCCGGAGGCTGAACAAACCTCAGTGCCTCAGCCTCTCCTCCCAAGTCTCATGCTTCAATGCCCAGCTGTCCTGTTGGCCCTCCCATGGAGTCATACAAGTTTATCACCAGCTTTCATGTACTGGGAGAGTCAAGACCCAGTATGCCAGCTGTGGTTTAATGAGTGCTGAGTAAAGGGAAGTAATTCTCTTGATCTGCCATCTGTGCTCCTGTTGATACAGTCTGATGCACTTTCACAGCTGCCAGAGTTTGCCACTGACAAACTCAGTGGCAAACTCAGCCTACCCCAAGCCTCCCACGGCCTTTTCAGCAGAGCTGAACCATCCGAGATAAAGGACTTTCTATTTGTCCTCACTGAATTTCATGAAGTTCCTGTTGTCCTAGTCCTCTAGCAAGTGTAAATCCCTCCAAATGGTAGGCCTGATCTCAAGCATATCAACTATATGGATGGTTGAGTCCCCATCCCTGGAGGCATTTAAAAGACACGTAGACGTGGTGCTCAGGGACATGGTTCAGTGATGGACTTGGCAGCGTTACGTTTACGGTTGGACTCAATGATCTTAAAGGTCTTTTCCAACCTAAATGATTCTATGATTCTATAACTACACCCTCCATTTACTATCCTCACTCCTCAGACCTGATAGTACTGCATCCTGACTCTTCCTCCAGGTCATTGATAAAGATACCAGACAGGACAGACCCCTGAGGAACTTGCCTGTAACGAGCCTCCAGGCAGAGCATGAGCCCTTTTGACCAATGATCCAGTCAGTTTTTTGCCTATCTATCTAGACTGGACCATTTGAAATTGGATACAAGGATTCTGTGGGAGACTACATGGAAAGCCTTGCTAAACTCAAGGCAGACAACATCCTTTGCTTTCCCCTCATCCACAGATGAAGTCATCTCATCACAGGAGGCAATTTGGTTGGTCTGGCATGATTTACCCTTGTAAATAAATCTATGGTGGCTCTTCCCAATCACCACCTTCTTCACGCACCCAGAAATTACTTCAAGATTGCTCACTCTGTGATTGTTCTGTAGTTCCCTAGGTTGTCCTTGCCCTTTCTGAAGATGGGTGCATCATCTGACTTTCTCCAGTCATGGAAGACCTCCCCAGTCTCCGTGACCTTTCAAAGATGATAGTAAGCAGCCTCACAATGACAACAGCCAGCTCTTTCTTAGTACCCTTGAGTGCAGCCCATCTGGTCCCATGGACTTAAGTGGATTGAGATTCCTCAAGTGGTCCCTGAATCAATCCCCTTCCACACCTGGCAGTTTCCTTGAACCCCTCCTATAAGTACAAAGTGTTGTTATTAAAAACCTAAAGGCCAGGGCACCTTTTTGCATGCAGTACTTGAACCGGGAAGCATTGAAGTAGCTGCTCAGATCCAGTTGATGGTGGATTTGTAAGCTTTAGGGATACTCAACATTTCAATACCGGTCCAAGCCACTAATGACCAAAAGCCACCGCTACCTGATGCCTGAAAGAAGCCTGTGAGAAATGCGTGACAGTCTTGGCCATTCTTTGGGGAATGGGGGGGATGGTCATACAATCTTCATATTGAAATTCATTACTGCAGCTGTCACTCTTATAGTGACTTCAGCAGAAGCACAGGCTTGACTGCAGAATTTGAGCTGTTCTTTCATCCACAAAAGTGGTCTTTTTCATCTGCAAAAGAGGGCAGAAGTGAGATTGAAGTGATAGAAAAGACTTTTCCTGGTCTTAGGGTCAGACTTCATTTCATCGTGGAGGATTATGAGAATCGGTTGTCCAGAACTGGTACACTCACTAACATCCTGGGCTGATGCTGTCATTTTCTGTTCTTAACGAGTGCTTATAGCCTGGCTGCTGAGAAGTGTTGCCAAACTGCCTTTTGCAACCTGACCGTAAGATCTGCGACCTTGCAGAGTGCAATGTAGTGTTCTTTCTGCTAAGAAGCATGTAAACACCCAGCAGGGAGGTGAGTAGGAAACAGTTAACAAATGCCATTTTCTACTCGCTTCTCCCATTTCCCTGCCCCAGAGAGGGTCTGCCTACAGGACATGGTATCAAGCAGAAATTAAAAACCGAAGTCCCTCTGAGTGGAAGACAGAGGATACAGATGGCTCAGGAAACCGTGTGGCATAGTCGCCTATTATTTGATATAGGGTGAAGAAAGCATCTTTGTCCTACACATATACACCCCTGTCAATGTCCTGGGACCTTCCCCTGCCTCTGTCTGGAGGTGACAGACACCCCAGGAGAGAGCATGAAGGGGAATGCTTGCTGCCCTGGAGGGGAACTATATTGTGGTAAGCCACAACAGGAACAGAATAAAGGTTTATGATTCAGTTTATAAAGGTCAATTGCATGCTGGCTCTATAACTTGACAGATTAAATAACCTCAGCAAAAATGTAAATGTGCAAGTTCCACTAGCAAACCTAGCTTTGGGCATATAACATGAACCCTAACTCTTATTTCTGCTAAATGAGTAGCTGAACATAAAATACACCTCAATAACACCTCACATACTTGAAACAGAAATTGTTCATATTACCAGGACCGAAATAAAATAACCGAGAAACAGCAGCACTTAATTGTAAAATATGTGAATACTCAGCAGAAATGTTAGCATTTTACTTGAAAGATGGCAAATATGTAAGCAGCAAGAAATTGCACGCAATACAATTTCCAGTTGTGTTTCCAAAACCTTCAGAAGAGATTTTACACTGAAAAGCATCCAGTGCTGAGTTCCTTGCAGGGTGAGGAAAGGAAGGAGAAGTTGAAAATAGGAACACCATCGCTAAGGAATGTGTAGATTAAAAAAGGTGTAATGCCTTGAAAGGTTACACTGATAAGCTGCCTGCTAGGATTGTAGTTTTTCCTAATATTTGTATTTTCCTATTAATTAGTAAACATAACTTGGCATTACTAGGGTTCATTGTATCTAATTTTTATTGGATTTTCCAAACATGGGAAAGGACTATATTAGGATTAAAACATGATGCAACCATTCAAAGCACCGCTTAGTTGTGTTTATCAGATGCTGAGCCATTTCAAACTGAGCAATTCCCTAGTTATGCTCAAAGCTTGGTGAGAAAAGGCATTCTATTCTGAACCTATGTTTCAGTTTTAAAGAGCTTGCACATGTGATTTGAATTGTCTTCCGTTCAATTTCAATTTATTTTCCACATTTTTCGTATAAATAAACATGTAAGCAGTGTATTCAGATTGCAAAGTATGTAACTTTTGTCTTCTATTTTCCTGTGTGCTGGAACTTCAAACCATGAGGTTGTACTTCCTCAAACTAGCAATAAAACAGGCTCTGGGCAAAGTCTAACTGTAAAAAGGTCAGGCCCATAGGAAATTTTTTATGAACATTTATAAGCAGTAAAAACTGAGGATTATGATGGAACTTGGCCTTGTACCTATCACCAAAATATACCATGCTGTGAATGGGATACAGTAGGAAGAATGGGACAATGCAAGAAAAGGAAAACCACTCAGCCTTACACTACATTTAATATTACCATAAGGAGTACATATTACAGCCTATTGATAAGCAAGACTATATTACAAATGCATGCTAGAAGTTTACATCCCGCTGTTCTTTGTATATCCCTGAAAACAATGGGGAAGTGCCCTTGTAAGCTAGTTTACTACATTCATGCCACCATATTATCGGGCATAAGGGTCCCAAGGAACATATTCATGATATTGTTATATACTACATTTAGCAAAACCAAGAAAACACCTTACAGTAGCAGCAACTAAAGATTTTTAAGGACTTTGAAAATAGCATGGTTATGCGTTAATTTACAAAAGGCTTACTATGACCAAAGATTGGGCTTTGGGGGTTTGTTTGCAGATTCTGTTTTCCTCCAAAGCCCAGTCTAAAATTATAAGAAAAAATAAGCTTGACCTAGTGTCAAAGAGTAAGGAGAAAACTACAGCTATGACTGCATTCAAACATGCAGATGTGCACATAGAACAATTACCAGTTTTTCTCACCGTGAAGAAAATTAGCTCTGGAACGTTTCCCAGTTCCACGTGCCAACTTTGCTGAGATAAGCCATGAATTTGGGCTAGCTTACACAATCACTATTTTTGACAAAAGCAGTCTGGGATCAGGGAGGAACCCACCAAAGCCTGTTTCACCACCAAGCATCTAAAAGTCAAAAGATACAGATATCCAAATTAATTGGTGAGAGGTCTCTGAGATATACATACTCTTTAGCTCAGTACCTTCATGTTAATCTTCGGACCAGATTTCACAGGTGTTCCTCCTGCTTTTTCTCCCCTCTCTAGATGTGGCTATTGGGGGTGATGTGCTCCCCACTCCTATACAGGGCAAGGGCTCTTGCAGGTGCCCACTCACTTCCTACTTAAGACTTAAACCGGGTAAAATGTTTCAGTTACATCAAGAAAACCCCACAGTCTTTCACCTCAAACTTTACAAAATCTGGAAAAAACTTTACAAAAGAGTTCTTCCTATCCACAACTCACCTTCTTCACTGATGCCATTTGAACCAGAGCAAAAGATGTCAAAATACCAAAACTGACAGAGGTAGATCATAAGCAAAGCTCGGTGAATCCATCATCTGTCATTCAGCTGTTAAAAGAGTTTTGTCACTGCACTTGCAAAGGACACAAATCAATCTTTCCCACACACTTGAAGAACGGGACATGTTTTTATCCAGCACTGCAGATAAGGGATATTGCCACCCTGTGAAAAACTTTTCTTGGTTTTTTTTTTTTTTGTCTGGATTTGTAGTGATCCAAGAATAAGCTAAAGCTTAAAACACTTCAGTAAACAAAATGCCCTCCCAGAAAAAATTCAGGTAATTTTTTAAACATTTCATGTTTTGATCATTTAAAAAAACTATTTAAAAAGATCATAAATTTTTTAAAAACAAAATATCCCTGCACTTAGAAAGTATCAGAGTAGAATGTTCTGATATTTCCGGACAAGAACCACTACTATTGAATGGTTTTCAACAGAAACACATCAGTGTATTTTCCAGCTGCTTCAAAGGGAGGACTGATTACTTGCTCAAGGCTGTGGATGCCATACTGTTGCCAAAAATTGGCATTCCCTGGCTATTTGTTCAGACCGCTGGAATTCATCTCCTAATTTGTTCACTAGTAGTATTTCTGAATGAAGATAGAAATAATGAAAGTCTAGAGGCAAATCTTGTTTTCACTGAGGATAGTCAGACAATTTGGGAATGTTTCATACAGATAAGTAAATATGGGCAAGAGGAACAACACAAGCATAACCAAATTGAAGCACAAGCTTTTTTCCAAGGTATGTCCAAAGCTTTTTAAAGTGATGGTCCATCTCAATTATAATGTAATTTCTTCATCACACTAGCAACGAAGGACCTTTAAAAGCGGGCTGCTCTCTTTGGCCAGTATGCTCTCTTCCTACCCTCACAAGATGGTAAGTAGCACATTAGTGCAATAAGGAATGTCCACAGTTTCTTTTTCAATATATGGTTATGGAGTAGCGCGCATTCCTTGGCATGAATATATGTTATGAACACTATTTAAGGAAAATGTGGTCTTCATAAGCCAAGTCTTAGGTCTCACAGTATGCAAGTTTATGCATTATTCTTTCCTGATTTCCATCAGTATTGGCTTTTTTCCATTAGTGAACTACTTTATCAAGTAAACTCTTTTCTCATTTTCTGTAAAGTGCATCCTTTCACTAACCTGAGTGCCATCATGATTTATACTGTTTTTCATGTAAGAGAGAATACAAAGATCTCCAGGCTTTATTCTTCTGTAAATGTCACCAGTTCCACTTACACTTCTGTGTCTTGAAACTGGTTTTCCTCTGACCTTATCAAGAACAGCAATTTTCCTGTCTACTCTAACAACACCCGGGATCTTGCCAAAAGAAATCAGAATCTAACGTAAAGCTCCGAGAGCAGCGGCTGAGTGTGAAAACAGAAGCGTGCCCATCAGCCTTCAGAGGGCTTGTGTCAGGAGGGAGCTGCCCCTGACCCTGGCTGCAGTAGCTCAGCTGAGCGAGCTCCTGAGAAGGGCACACCGCGGTTCAAAGGCTTTCCCGTGTGAATGCACTGGTTTAGCTTAATAAAGGCCAGGCAAAGGGCAAAGAAAGCGGCCCTGTAGTGACTTTCTGAGGAAGAAAGTCTTGGTGCCCACTGGAACATCAAAAAGAATGAAGCTGGCTTCAAAGACCTTGTATCTTGTCTGCAGTATAATGCAAACCCTGCGCAGCGCCTTGGTCTGATCCCGACGACGGCAGTGGCACTTGCCAGCAGTTCTCTAAGAATACAGGCTGGCAGAGACACAAACAGAGTGTGTGGAGGAGCCTCAAGGAATCTGGCTTTCCTAAACTCAGGGAATGGCAGCATCGGGGAGCAGCAGGCACTGTCTCTACTCTTGTCTTCTATTGCAGTTAAAATATGGTTTATTTGAAATGCGGCTGCACTGTATTAGCGATACTTTTAGCTTGGTTGCTACCCGCTACAGCCCTTGCTGCAGAGAGAACCGAACAGCAAGCTTCGGGCGCAATCAAGATGAGCTCGATAGGCAGGGACTGGAGCCAGGGCCCAGGCTGAAAACAGAAGATCTGCATGGATACACCACCCTGAGGGAACTGCTGGAGGCCGGAGAGGTTTGCTCTCAAGGCCTCAGCAGTACAGTCTGCTCCATGGTGGTGAAAGTGCTACTACTTGCAAACACCGCAAGATTTTCATGGATTCTTGACATTTACTGTGGTATTTAATGTGCTTATGAGGATGGTATGATTGTTTGGAGCTTAAAAACTAAGAGCGACTCTTCCAGGCCTTAACTGGCTGAGAATGGGGGCAGTTATTGCCCATTTGGTGACTCCTGAGGACAAAGTCATAAATACGTCAACATGAAAACAAATCGTTTTTCAGTGGGATGTTATTAAATCTAGGCAGCGTTACCTGCGAAGTCTCAGGTTCTGTCAGTCATACAGGTAAAAGATTTAATGCTACTAACTGACTTTTAATTCCTAAACCACCAATGATCTCAGGAAAATAACTATTTTACTGCACTGTTGACGGATCCTGGTATTTAGAGGATTACCTGTTTTTGCAAGATTGTTTGGCTACCCCAGAGAATAACTCACGAAGGCCTTGTTGTTGAGCAGAGCAAGCTGCATGTAAACCCTCCAAACAGCACTTTGCTCTACCGGGCATTGGCTTGCTCCAAAATCTGTAGTATGGGAACACACTTCAACACCTGTGTGTGTTTAGTGGAAGGATAATTCTGCTGTTCAATGTGATGGGCTATAAAGAAGAAAAGGGTAGGTACGTGTTCATGTTTGTGATGAACTTTGGGTCCTCTTCTGATAATGACTTGGTGTAGAGGAGAGGAGGGGAAAAAGAAATACTGAAGTGATGCTCAGCTTATTCCCCAGAGTCTGAAAAAATTATCAGCGGTGAAATCTCTCATGCCGTTCTCATTCTTGAGAAGTGGTAAAAGCACCCCACCTTGGGATTTTTTGAGAAACAATATGGAGTAAGATCACTCAAAGAGCAGCATGTGGGGGAACCGTGCCAACTATGAAACTGAAGTATTGCACTCCATTTAAATGGAGCCACCTAGCTGCATCTCTGGTTTGTAGACTTCATAGCAGCTTCTCTGGATTTACAGGCTCCTGCTCCTGCTATAGGAGATCCTGCAAATTCAGTCTCTCCACCACTGCCTCATTTTAATTAAAAACATAACTGACCAAACTGTTCTTCCTTCTGCAACCAAAATCCTCCTTCTTTCTCAAGGGCTATGGCTACATGAACCCGGACAGCCATCTTGGGGGGAAATTCTTCCAAGTCACAAGGTGGTGCAAAGCCACTGGCAAAGCTCTTAACCTACAGGCTGGAAAGCAGGACATGCAGAAGGCAGAGCTATTTCAACTATCAAAGGCAATGCATTGAAAAAATAGTTGGACAGTGCCTCCCCCATTATTTCTCAAATCCACTATCTCACTTCTTTCCAGATACGTGCAGCTGCACTCATTTCTCATAAACTCATTTTTTAAAAAAACAGAGGCCATCTATATTTACACCAGAATGTCGAATAATAAATTGCCTAGTCTGCAGCTAATCATGGAGAAAATGAGGAAGGGAAGCTGAAATTTCTTATTCCAAGAGAGAAATTTACTTAAGCATAAAAAGTGCAACACTAGATCTTATATGTAAAATGTCTTGTAAGTTTATGCTTTTGGTTCCTGTTAGGGGAATATAATGTCAAGTGTTTCCAAAGCAAAAGATCTTCTTTTAAAATACACAGTCAAAGGCTTTCAGGTATCTGAAAAGTTAATTTAAATGCTTTCTTTAAAAACAATTAATTTGCACCATGAACATTTCTCCTCACTCATTCCAAGTATTTTTCCCTATGCCAAACATGCATAACTTTCCCTGGCAAATGTTCTAACTCCCTCTGTCTCATTTGGTATTTTATCAGGTTGGGTTGCAAATCTTTTGACCTGACCCTATTATTTTCTTTATTTAAAATATTTAGTATATGCTACATAATGAGTTATATTTCACCAATAATAAGTGGTAATCATTCAGACATCTTTCATAAAATGCTCAATCTAATATATTTTAATTTGCGTTTTTATACCCTCTCCCCCTTTCAATTTGCTCTATTATGTTATTATTCTGTGAGTCTACTTTGATGCCCTCCAAAACTGCTGCCGCTGCTCTTTTTCCTGTTGGCCTGAAGATAACAGTGTAGGTCAGGCAGCATGAAAGCTATCAAATATTTGCTGCCCGATTAGGGTTTTGCTGTTGTTGTAAAATAATTATTGACTATCTCCATTCTCTCTTTCACTTTCTTTGCATCCTTCTCTCTGCCTGCTACCTTTTCTTCTCTCAGGCTTCAAGCTGAGACTCCACTCTCTAACATTTTCTAGTTCATTGGAGGTCATTAGCAAACAGCTTCAGAGAAGCTAGACAGCATGTTTGCTCTTTTCATGTTGCTGTATTTCAGGTTTTGATGGGACAGAATCTATTAAGATCTTCTCCTGTACTCTTCTTTTCACATAAGCTCTTTGTTCCTTATGATCTATGAAAAAAAAAAAAAAGTACACACATACCGTCTCTTGCTTTCACAGCTGAAAAACAGCAGAGCCACAATTTCAAAGGTAAAGAACATGCTGCTGTGTACAGATATTGGCATATGTCTTTCTATCACTGATGCACACACCCAGACTAGATTCAAATATGTGATCAGATGCAAGTAAATTGTAAGCTGTATGTATAATAAAATAACATGCAAAAATACAGGTGCAATTGTAATGCATGAAGCCTTGAAAATCTACCCCACTGTGCATTTTTATAGTTTACTTTCCAAAGTCACCACGTTCTTATTACAAACTTGTTTTAGACCCTACCAAATTCTAGAGACTGTTCATCAGACCCTTCAAGCCTGCCAACTCCTCCAGCTAGCCCTCTGGAATACAAAGCCATCTAAATCTTGTAAGTCCTACCCAGAATGAGATTTGGAACTATTAAAATCAACTGCTACCAGCACATTTTCTTCACAGAGAATGGTGTTCCACCGAGGGGTTTTCACATTCGGAATGATAACCAGGAAAAGTCTTGATAAGGTCAGGAAATAGAAAAATAAACAGTTAAAATACAGGCTTAAGAGACTATTAACAAGTGAACAGTATTGTTCAGAGATACCTATTTTCTGTGGAGGAAACAACCAAAAACCAAAAGATCAAGAGGAGTAGGAGGCAGCAGAAAAGGACTCTTGCAGATTATGCAGAAAGAGGTCATTTGTGAAAACAAGAGGAACTTGTGAAAGCAGAGAGAGAAAAAAAAAGTAATTCATTTACTCATTCAATAGTGTTAGCAGAATTTGCATATCCATCCCTATTTCAGAGGCTTTGAAATTTTATTTTTCTCCAGCTGTTTTTCTTATCATTTTGGCATGTTTTCTCATCACACACAGCCACTTAGCTCTCAGATGCTCTCGCTAACAGACTGCTGGCATCTTACAGCTGCTCTCAGGCCTTCCCTTTTAAATCTCCCAGCTGCCTCTCTTACCCCTCATAACATTACTGGCCTACCCATCTTGTGTATTTTTTAAAATTGTTTCCAGCTGCCACATTTGGTGCTCTAGATACTTTCCATTCTCTCCCCCAGAATATGGTATTTTGGAGTGTTTCTGTGGGCTGATGGGATGACAACAGATTTCCAAAGCCTCTTTCTGTCTAATAGGAATCTCACCCAAGTCCTTTCCAGATGTTCATGCATCAAACTGAAAATTTCTTTTGGCTATTGGCAAATGCTGGGAAGCTAAGAGGAGGAGGAGAGCATGGTGCTAAATTACCAAGGTGGTAAAAATACAATGATCCATGATCAGATAATCAAATCTCACCTCTTGCTGTTTCACAGATCTCGTGTATCTTGTTCTCTGTTCTCTTAAGTGCTGCCCAATCTCCCACACTGTGTGCAAAACCTCTGAAATTTAGAAGAAATTTCAGCTAATTTCAGCTTACAATTTGGAATCACTAGCCCAACAGCATCCCCAGTCTTACACTACTCTTGCAGACTGCAGCCTCTGGAACCGACATGGAAAAGGCTCTATGTACGTTTAAGAAACATACTTTGGTACATGTGTATCCATTGACTTTCATGGTCAAGAAAAAGACTTTATACACAGATTCCTCTTAATTGTGTAAGTGACAGTTTAGACACACACCTGGTGGTTATTCTCAACCATTCTTTTGCACTTTAAGAAGTGGGTAATGCTTTCATGTTATGTTGGCTTTGTAAAATTTTGCCCCGAACCTGTATGGTTATAGGAAAATCTAATTGCCATCTAATTAAATGTTCTCAAAATTAAATTTCAAAGCTATCGGCCTTCCTTTTTTTCCATACTTTGGCAAAAGTAAAATGAAGTCTGGCCATGTGAGGTACTTAAAAGTTAGGGAATCCTAGCTGGGTTTTCTACAAGCTCTGTTTTAACAATGTCACTTGAATAATCATGCTTGAAGGTTCAGAAAAGAATAATAATTTAAAAAAAACCAAAGATCTTATCTGCATATCATCTAAGTTTCTATCTGATTCACTCCGGGCTGTTCCTTTTTATTCAAGATCTTTTCTTATCCAGATAGAAGCTTAGATTTACCCGCTGGGGAGGCCTGGGTGAAGAACCTTCTGTGCAACAGGTGCCCACTGTCCACAGATGAGCCAGGACAAAATGTGTTGGCATCCAGCACTTGCTTTGAAATAGGTCATGAACTCCAAAAATCCATTTATAAATGTCGCACCAGGCAGCAGAACAGGGCACATGTTTGGAAGTGCCTGAGAAAGGAACCCTCCTCTACCACTGTGGAGGAAGGCTCCTCTGCTCATCCTCTTCCCTTCTCCCCTCTGAAACTCCTGGCACAGGGAGAGGAAAAGGGGCTTCTGGATCTGCCCGCTCATTCTAAAATTGTTAGAAGGAGAAAGGAACTGTATCTCAAGGCTTTGAAAAACACCAAGAGGAGCTTGCAGTTTGAGTTTAAGAACCAACTGGGTCACTACAGTGGTCAGGAGAGAAGCGAGCACAGAATTGGCAGGATAAAGTAGAGGAGAAGCTGGAAGAGAGGTTTTAAACAGAATCACAGACATTTTCATACCGACTGAAAACTGTTTCCCTCTCAAAGGGTCTAGTGGCCTTGTCCACAGCACAGTGAAATCACTGAAAGCTCTCCACATACCTTCAGAGAACTTTGGGTCAGGCCTTGTGGTGTTA